CCCCCCCCCCCCCCCCCCCCCCGGGCAGCACTCTGAGTATCTTTGCCAGCCCCACGGAACTGAGCCTGGCGGCCAGAGGTGGGGGAGAGCCACTGGCCAGAGCTGTGCTCTGAGCAGCTCTGCCACCTCCTGCTACCAGGTCTGTGGGTCTGTGGAGCCTCCAGCCATCGGGTTGTGCTCACCAGGGCTGCACTTGCCCATGGAGCTCAACCTGGTGGTGAGAGAGCCAGTAGTGGAGCTGATTGGAACACAGCCCTGCTGAGCACAGCGCGGTGGCAGGAGGCTCTGCCAGCCCCACAGAGCTGAGCCTGGTAGTGGGAGGTGGGGGAGAGGCACGAGCCAGGGCTGCGCTCCAAGCATCTCTGCAACTGGCTCTCCCACCACCCGTCTGAGCTCTGTAGGGAAGACCCCAGCACAGCCCCCCAGCCCATAGCCCTCCCATTGCAGCTGGCACCGGTGGCCACCCAGGAAGAGCTGGGGGAAGCAGTCAGAGAGCTGGGGGAAATGTTGGGGAGCTGGGGAATCCAACTGGGAGCCGGGGGAATGTTCAGGTCCCTGAACATTCCCCCAGCCCCCGGCTCGATTTCCCCGGGAAACCCAGCTTTAAAACTTGGAACGTTTTGAAGTTTCAAAACATTTTGAGTGCCCTTGTTTCATTTAGAAGCTGTTATGAGCCTTTTGTTTCATTTCTATTTTGCTGTTTTGAGCTCGAAAACAGCCTTGAAACAAAACATCCATTGAAATTCACACAGCGCTAATATTAACAAAGATTAAACAGCAATTTGATATTCTATGTGCACTCTTTCAAGGCACTGCAAAAACAGATTCAAGGTAGAATTTTTTGAGGGTACTTAGTGTTGGCCTATGTCTAGCCTTTGAAGTCAGGAACTCTGCTGTTGACCTCAATAGGAACAGAGTTTGACCTGTGCTGGTTGACTTCCTGTTTCCAAGTTTCAAGTGATGCATTTTGTAAGAAAGTGTGGAGGCACCAAAATGCCCAGTTTTTCTCCCCTCTCAATCATAGTTGTCTTTTTATTCACATAAAATCAGTTGCATCACTAAAATAGTTATTTGTTATGTAGTATATTCAACTGAAAGGATTGTTGGACAGTCAAAAACAGGGAAGTCAAAACCAGGAAGCTGCAGAAGGGAGAAAATTCCAGATATTTCCTTTCTTTTTCCCCCAATGTCAGGATGTTTTGCCAGCAATTTAATGGCACCATTATACACATTTTTATAAGCAAGAACGCTGTGTGTAGTCAGTGTTAAGGTGTTTTGGAGAGTGAGGGAAGGTGTTCTGTATGGTCAACTCGTGCAAGTGAAAATTTAAATAGAATGCAGATATTAAGTGTCTGTATTGTCTGCTGAATTCTTAATCTGTGGGCCTTTTCCCCCCCAAATGATGTAATTTTTCTGTATTTTCTGTTTAATCTAAAATTGTTACTTTGTTTAGTGCTACTAACATCTTCGTACAAAATAACCCTATCTTATGCTCTTTTTTTAATGGAATCCTAACTGAGCTTTTGTTATTAGCCATTGAATGTAAAGATGATGGTTGATGTAAGTTTTTTTTTTTCCATTTGTTTCTCAGGGCTAAAAAACCTCCCATTCTTCTTGGGATTCCTGTTCAGATTCTAAATAGGAATGTTGTTTCAGTAGTTGCAGAATGAAGGAAAAAAAACCCCAACAGTTTCCAGTCTGCCATTCTATAACTGATGGCCAAACTGAAGTTGATTGAAGTGATTGAAGTTTCTTAAGTGATTTGTATTTATTTAATTTCCTTTATTTACCTTCTCCTAGGCTAAAGAAGAAAATGTAGCCATTTAGAATTGTCACCGATTTATAAATCATGCTTCATTGCAAATCATTAGCTCTTTCAAGAATAAAGGGCTAATAACTTTTAGACCTTTTCAGAACACTGCAGAGGTGGAGTGGCAGTATAAGGCACAATGTAACATTTCAACAATATTTTATTTAGAAACCTCCTATTTCTCCCTTTGGAATAATATGTTCCCAAAAACGTGTTGATATTTCAGTGACCCACCTGGTTTAGATATGAAATATTTGAAGAAAGATGGCAACTTGCCTTTGAGAGGACTGAAGTCTTTGACTATAGAAAACACAGGTAAAATGATCTAACAGATTTTAAGATTACTTGTTTACCCAGCAACTCAGTTATAATTGACTGTTGACTCCTGCCATAATACATCTTTAATGCTGAGGATCTATGTGTTAGAGTGTATAGTGGGCATGTTTCCTCTAGATAGACCTGGGCTACAAAGTTCTGACCCAAACTCCCTCAAAACCAGGGACTATATTTTTGGCTTTAATTTCATGAGTTTTCTTTGACTGTATTTTCTTCTGAATTTTTTTCTTATAGTAATACAAGAGAGTTTTTTAGAATTGGTCAATCTGTCAAACTACACAGGAATAGTCTAGTTTTGGGCCCAAATTCAGCAAGATTCTTAAGCAAGCTTCTGACTTTTTCTAGCATATGAATAATATCATTTAAATCGATGGGATTACCCACGTAGTGTATTGTTCCAGTTAAAAATTGACCCTGCATGCAAGTTGATCCCAAATGTTCAGGGGTGTTTTAGCAAAAGACAGCTTTCCCTGGGTACAGATAAAGAACTTGAACTGACTTTGCTGTGACAGAATTCCTCAGGAGAAGAAAGTAACCATGGAAAGGATCCAAAGGGTTAAATATACCAAAATTACTAAAAGGAAAAACTGCTCTGAAAATAAATACTGACTTTGTATTTTTGTTCCATGCACAAAAATACAGCAAGTCCAGATGTCAAATTTGTAAGAGACCTGATTATAGGTTGACCTGCTTACAAGTCAAATTGGATGTCATGGCCTTTTCGTAAGGGATGGGGAGAGGAGAGGCACTAGATTTGTAATCGGAACAATGAAGTACTTAAAGCTGAGTTACCTGCTTGAATAACTACTTGAATCAGTGTGCAGTGATTTGGTGAAGGCATGCAGGAAGCTCACTATCCTGGACTTTAACAAGAAGATTCTTCTAAAGAATTTGGATAAAATATTATGTCAGTTACTTTGCAAGGAGTTCACACGGTAGTAGTAGTAGTAGTAGTTGTTGTTATTATTATTATTATTGTTGTTATTATTATTATTTCAGTATTATCAAGGCCTATATTATCCAAGCAAGGAAGTCCACCTGTAACATCTGCTTACTTCCCAAAGCAACAGCCTCGACTACCTGCATCATGAGCTTCAACACTATTGTAATGGATACATAGAGAGACTCTTGCTCATTCTTGGAAACAATAATGAATATACCATTTAAAATGTGTGATATAAGAGAGATGCTTGGACAACAGGATTTTAAATTTGACTTTATGGTCTGTCTGAACTTGTTTACTTTTTTCCCTATAAAGTCTTTGTTCACTGAAACTGCCACAGTTTGTTCTGGTGTAAAGCCAACCATTAAAATAACCTAATTGCATTTCTAGATCTATAACTTCTTTTTAAACAATTAAAAAAATATAGCAGCAGCTGTTTGATTCCTCAGACACTCCGCAGCTTACAGGCTGTGCATGCTGAATGAAAGTATTTCTTTCAGGTATTTTTGCTGCTCCAAAACTGTGTTCGGGTGCACATGAATGTATGTGCAACCTGTCTGGTACATCCTGTAGCACTGCACTTTTCATGTTTAAAAGACCTTTTGTAATAGTCAAATTATGAAGAACAAGGTTTTTTTAAGATGGCAAATTTATAGCAGCAGCAGTCCATTGTGTGTACAGCATTTACTTTATGACATTAATCACTTCTGTTGATAACCATGGTGGACAGAAATAATTTCTAATTGGACCCCTTTTTTACGTTTTCTTCATGTTAGTTCCTTGATGACTGACTACTATTTTTTTTTTCTTTCCTTAATCAAATCACACTTTAGAACTTTGGAGGACTCCTACCAGCTTTGTGCAAACGATATAGTCAGGGTATATCTTGTAAACTGTATTTTTAGGTAGGGTCAGATGGGTTATATTTAATCTTGATATTTTTTGTAATATGAGTATAATTTGCTGGCAAAACTTGGAGAATTACAATAATGACAAGAGACACAATATTCTGAATGTGAAAAGTTCTGTATCTTCACTATTAAAAAATAGTAACAGTTTCTTTAGGACAGAGCCAGACTCAAAGTGAATACAGCTCTATTTATTTGAATTAGTTCATTTGGCTTTTTGTTATCAGGGAAAAATCAAAAGTGTTGGATTTACCTCTTTCAAAATGTTCACTTGATGAAAAGCTCAGTTAGAAGTGTTGCATTTTGTAAGATGTAAGTAGACCATCTGCATTTCACTTGCACAGCAGTCATTCCTGCTTTTTTTTTTTACTGATTATTCTTCCCACAATTGTCTCTCTTTTCCTGTGTAAAATGGGAAAAAAATCAAGAACGTTTTTAATGATATACTGTACCTCCTCCCATTTTCAGACAAGGTCTTGGCTCTTTGCAATCTTACTAGAAATCTTAGTTTGTATTTGATATTAAACTAGATTGGATGTATGGTAATTTCCTTTCTCATTCTGCAGCCTAATTCTTTGGGGACACAAAATTGGTTATTGCATTATTGAAGTGAGACAAATCTGCAGTAAATTAGTACATACTAGATTGATGGGCTACTTTAGTTTTCAAAAGCACTGTTGAAACTTAATACCTGGAGGTCTGCAGTTCATTTTCCTGTCAGTATTATAAACATTAACCTTTTTCCTGAAATTATTTTCCTTGGATGGAATTGTGGAGTGCAACAATGTCTAGAATTATTTTCTGTTGACTGATTATTACTTAGTGTGCCATCCTTTCAATTCTGGAACTTGCAGATACAGTACTCATGTCAGAGTCCAGGTGAAATGCAGTAATTTTTGCTTGGTGCCTTTTTGCATGGATTATTTTATAAGAGAACTTCATGCATCTTAATTTTCTGGGAATGTGGAACATGCATGTCTTGTATGTTGAGAGAGAACCTGGGCCGTATTAATTCCATGCAATGTCTAACAGCAAATGAGGTGTGCATGCATATATAAAGAAGTGTATAAAATTAACATTTTTTCTATTTAAAGTTTGTATTATATTGTGAATAAAATGTTTGTACTATAATTACCTAACTTTTGCTTTATTACAGAAAAGGTAGAGGGAAAGACGCTATTTATTTAAAAAAAACCCATCCTGGTACATGATATACTTAAGTTCTGAGATTTTAAATTTTGATCTCATGCTGTCGCCGTCATTGAAGATAATGGAGTAGCATGAGTGTCACTGAAAACAATTTGAAGACCACAGGGCCATAGTAAATGAAGGTAGAATTTGTCCTTGTATTGTTTTAGAAAAATCCCATGGTTGCAGCTACAAAACTTTTCCCCGTTCCTTTATACTGAGCAAATGCAAAAAGCATGTAGGTACTTCAGACATAAGAAACATTATCACTTATTTGCTGCTTTCAGTAACACATACCTTGACACCATTTGCAAATGGAAGATAGAAAAATACTGATTTAGACTATCTGCACCAGTATTTTTTTTCTTGATAGTACCCAACCCCAAATGCTCCAGGAAGCATGGGGGCAGCCCTCCCAAAAAAAAAACTGAAAGAATTATGATATGTCCACTGTGAGGTTTCATTCAGATATGTAGATGTTAGAGAGTAATTCAACATTCCTTGACCAACATTGTATAGGGTAGACCTAGGCACCTGTACTCCCCTCTTTCATTTTACTGCTGTTTCTGTCTGCTCCATGACACTTAAGGTTGACTTTCTGCCTTTGCTGATTAGGGTCCTTTTTACTTTCAACTCTTCAGCTTTGTGTGGAAGTCAGTGTGTGGTGTCTGGAGACTGTGCTGCAAAAATGTCCAGTTCCACCTTTTAATTTTGGTAGATGCAAGCTGTTAGTTGGAGATTTTTATTAAGGCTCCAGACTTAATGAGATTTAATATTCCTCCCAAAATGTTGTTGTTAATTATAACCAGGGATCCTGGTTTTCTCTGTTTTTAAGAACTGCAGATTCTCTGATTTAAAGCTCCCCAAATCCATGTATTTTCATGGTTAAAATGCTGGCACTACATAGGTGTCAGTTGGGCAATGTTCTATTGACAGTTTGGAAACCTAAGAGTGTCTCAATCATTATTATAAATACATGCTAAATACTTTGGTGTTTGTTTGTTTGTTTATTTTTTAATCGTGGAAAATCAGAGCTCCCCCTGCTCCCTTCACTTACCAGGATGTGGGTCCAGCTGTTGCTGTACCCCCTGCTGTTTTGTGGCACTGTGCATCCCTGAAATCCCAGTACCCTGCCCATGCCATTGCCCCTCACTCCTGACCCGTAGCTCCCATGCACTGTCATTGCCTCTCCCAACCCAAAGCCCTAATAGTGCACTCCCAACCTACTACCTCAGGCCTCCAGTGTATGAAGAAGAGGGCAGGTATGTGAAGAAGGGGGAATGTGGGCACAGGTGATGTATTGGGGAGAGGATGGGGGGGCACAAGAGATGCATGGGAGTAAGGAGGGAATACATGTCTCCCCAGATTTCTGTGTCCACAGCGGGGTGCAGGGCTGCAGCTGGGCTGAACTAGCTCGGGGTAGGAGCAGCCTCTGCAGCCCAGAAGGTGGGACCTGGAAGTGTCAAGCCACCATGGCTGCCACACTGCCTGGCTGCCATGTGCATGCATGCACATGCACATGCTGCCCCCTGCATCCCAGTCCCTGCAGACCTTTACAGGCTGGAACTGTGCCAGACTGCAAGGCAAGACCTGTGGTTTCTCTCATTTTTCCTCCTTTAAAGGGAAAATCCACATTTTTCTGTGGCAAATGAAAAATCCAGATCCCTGATTATAAGTGTGGCCCTTCTTGATTATCTATATGAATGACAAGAATTAAAAAGTTATTGGATAAGTTGTCATTAACCACTTGCAGTAGCAAAACTGTTCTTCATTTAATTACAGGTTGTATTTTTAAAACTCTTGTTTTTAATTCATTTTGAATTTTCCACTTTTTTTATATTTCATTGAGTACCCTCTTGTCTTGGTGTATGGGACATGGAGAACTGAAGTTTCTGATTTAAGCCCCCTACACCATTGATTATTTTATATAATTTATCATATTCCGTTATTCATTTTCTTTTTCTAAATTAGACAGTCCCAGTATTTTTGGTGTTATCTCCTTTGTGGGACTTAATGTTCTTGTTCATTTCCACCTCTCTTCTCATTCACTGTAGTTCTGCTCTATCATTTTTAGATGAGATGACCAGAATGGTGCTCAGATAAAGTTGCATTATTGATATATGTGAAGTTATTATTGAATGGGATGGTGAATAAAATATAAATCCTAACACTTTATTAGCTGCTGCTTTTTGAATGCAGCTACATATTGAGCAAAGGTCTTTGTTATACTGTCCATAGTTATGGTTCTAAGTTAATTTAGAACATTGTAAGTGAAAGAAGAGTTCAGTTTTCAGAACTCCAATGTGCGTTATTTGCATTTTTCGGTAACATTAAATTTACCATTGTTTGCTCATTCATCTAACTTGTTTGTGTTTCTGTCAGGTTTCTTCCACTCTTGACTAATCCAAATAATTTTGTTACTTGTGAAATTTATATAAATTACATCTCCAAGTTAACTTTCCATTCATTAGTAAATATAGCAAACAACTAAATGGCACAGGACCTAATATGAGCCTTTGAGACATCCTGGTATTAGCTTTTAACCATGCTGAAAATTGACTGTTTAATCTTATTTTTTGTGTCCTGATTCCTAGCCATTTTTGTTTTGATCCAAGACAATATTGGGCCTGTCGTCACTGCAACTCTTTTTAGTAGTTTAAACATCAAAATAAATTGTAAACTAGTTCTTTTCCCAGTGTTTTACTGACATGTTCAAATCCTTATATTTGCAAGAGGTTTTCCTTGCAAGTAAAACTGTTTAGTGACAATTAAATGTGCATCAAGACCTAGGCAAATCCTTGAAAATATGGAAATAACAATGAAAAGCTCCAGCATACCCAGCCACTAACATTGTAAGCAAAGCTGTTGATACATAATGTGAAGGACATTAATTTCCATCTCAAACAGTTGCTAAAAATCTTTAGATATATATATCTTACCTTCATCCAACTTGCTCTATCATGCAAAACCTTGGTGATGACCTCCAAGCTTCTTGTATTAGCAGACTGATGAATCTGACTGTCACATAGTCTGCTTTTTTAGAAGTAATTCTGCTTTAAAATGGCTGCTGGCATCACTGGGGTTTTGATTTATCAACTATCAAACAGTGCAAAGCTAGTTTCCCCCTGCAGGAGCATTTTTGGGGTGAGTAGATTGATAGGCTTGTGTGCAAAATATCGGAGAGGTTAGGGTTAGAGTTATTGTTATTAAGTAAACAGATTTTTTGTAAAGCAGTTTGTTTTAATTTGTATATTGATTATTTTAATGTCACTTCATAAAAGTGCATGCATGTTACTTTTATTTTGTGGAAGCACCAAGAACTTTGTGGCCACAAGAGGACTTAATTGGTTCTCAGGGCAGTGCATTTTCAATAACAAGGGGTGTGTGTGTGTGTGTGTGTGTGGTGGCGAGGAAGGGAGAGAGCCAATTTAAGTTGATGACAGTATGAATTACAGATAAGTGGCATAAAAACATTGTACAATGAATCAATGAAAGCGTTCAGTCATGAAACTGAAAGCATGGGGATACAATAAAGGGAAAGGATAAAAGATGCATTAAGATCTAATCTGAAAACACAGGAAGATGATGAGAATAAGTTGCTTGTTGTTTGCAGAAGTAATAAATGGAAGTCAATTTGAGAGCTCAGAAGCAAGGAGAAGAGAAAGGAAAGAGACTTGGAAAACTATGTGATTTCTGGAGGGAAATCCAGTTCTAATGACAAAAACTGAAATCCAGGAGAAGGGCAATAACTGCTAGAGTTAGGACTATGAGACTCATATATGTGCATAAAATAAGGGACCCAGAATCTGGAGAGTTGAAATTTTAGCAAAACTGTGACTAGAACAAGCTTCAAAGGAAGAGGAAATAGCTGCTTAAACTCTCAACTACAGAGACAGTTAAGGTAGTTGTGTTCATGAGCTATGCTGTGGAGGTTTTGATAAAAAGATTACATAGAGCTGTAAAGAAAATAAAAGTTCAAGGTCAAGTATGATAGGAAGCTGGAGAGAGATTGGAGTTCTTGTTTAAGGAAACTTGCTTTCAAGATATTTGCTTTCAGTCTTTTAAGCAACAGATTAGTTTGGCATCTTAAATTCCATGGTTGGTTCAATGCATGTTAGCGCTACAAAATAAGATTGTATCACTTTCATATCAAATGGAGACAGAAATAGTCAGCTTGGTGTAGTCTGAAGTAGCAAGAAATGTCTGAAGTAGGTTGCCCAGAAAAGCTCATACCTTTTTGAATGAGTTAGGTAAAGATGCCCTTAGAAACTATGCTCTGGGGTGGGGGCAGGCAGGTGTTTTAATTACAGTGGCTCTTAGGAGCCACTCCATGAGACTCTGCAGGTGTTTTAATTATATTCAGCATTCATGCTTCAAAGTGACAGCAGGGGAGCTTTAACTAAAGCTTGTTCGACAAACTTGAGTTAAAAAAAACCCTGTCGCCATTTTGAAATGTGGCGACACCAAGGCTGCATGCATTCTAATCAGAATGTTCCAGCAGACTTGATTAATCAAGTGTGCTCTAACAAGTTCTAATTAAAACATGTTGGAGCAGGCATTGGGCACATGTATAGGTTCCCTAAGGTGCCACCCTGCCCTAGGTTTATATCAAATTGAGGTAAACTCTGGGTGGTTATTGTGTGTTTGTTTTGAGAGAGAATTGTTTTTTCTTTGCAGCCTTCTTTTTCCCCCCATATATTAATTGATGGGCATTGCACTCACTGTCCAGCTGCTTTAGCTCTTTTGGAAGGCTGAGCCACACCTGCATCTGTCCTTGGTTTGTCATGCTACTTGAATCCAAAGCAAAGTGTATTAGACACTACACACAGACTAATTAGGCTACAAACAAGCCAGACCGAATGCTTCACCAAATAAA